GTGTTGCATAACTTATGTATGCCAGTAACTATTGAGAGTGAATCATCAATTTACGAGGCATGCAAGGTATTACAATAACCAGCATGCTCTTTGCCAAAAATTAAGATAGCTATTTAGATCTAAGGTGACATACCACTGCTACAGAAGGTCCGCAAATATACCATTGTGCAAACAACACATTCATTTGATCTGTGCTGTGATAAAAGAGTCCGGATCCGTTGGTTCCTCGTAAAATACAATGTTAGTGCACTGCACTTATGTACTTAAAAACGAACTGCATACTGTTCTTAGCACCATTTTACACTATTATAATTATACTTAACCCTCATGGAATTCCTCAACTGCTCAGGACGAATGCCACCTTTTGTGTGTTTGTCCAAAGTATTTGTCAATCAGGCAACAAATGGAAACCACTATTTAGTATCGCAGCAGAACAAAAATTGTACTAAGCCTTGCTGGTCACCAACAACTGATCTAAATCCTCCCTTATCTTTAGTCACTCATAGTTTAATAGTACATCGGTGACCAGTCAACTACAAGCTAGTCGTTAAAGGCGGGCTCCAGGAAGGACAATACTGTAACTGTAAGGAGACTCCGACCAGCTTAACTCCGGTGTTTAGTCTCCTAATATGGACTGTTTATTATCCGGATTATAAAGAAGACATAACCTGGGATAAATTAATTTATGATACTAAATAGCAGTAAATAAATATAGTTACAAGTGGCATGCCATGTCCACTACTGAGAATAGTGAGATGTTAATTGGTTATGTTGTTATTATTTTGTTTGTAAAATCTTAGCCCTTGCATTTTGGTTATATCTAGCTATGTACAAAAGTTCGGTACAAACATCTACAAGCTATAACTACCATTTTGAATATTTGTGAAGAAGAAGCAGCAAACTCCAAAACCATCACGATGAGATCTTCCCCAAAGGCTTCCCCCCAGACTGCGACAGCAATCTTGGATGTGCGGATTCTGCACTCTCATTGAATAACTCTTCCGCTGCATGATCCCCTCCGGTAACAAAAACCTGTGTTGAGTGAGGTGAGAGAACAACAATTGAGGGGAAGGTAGCTAGGCAAATAGGTTTCTTATTGTTTTGTTGCTGACTATCCGCCATTGTCGAGAACCACAGCCAGAACAACCAGAGAAAGAAGGAAAAAACTGCTTTTCCAGACATCTCAAGTTAAAAGTTTCTTTGGTCACTCTCTATAACTTGTCCAATAGAAGAACTGAACAAATATTATAGCTACCCTCAATTCAGCTCTATAAAGACGATAGGTAGCTACGTGACCATGTAGCCAATGAACCACTGTGTTTATCATGTATAATTATATAAGAGTGTGTGGTGAGGAACTGAACTATGTCCTTCATACTTTTAGTGAGGTGAGGATGAACCTCGCACAAACCTTTATTTGACCATGTATTAAGTGCCGTGTGGACAGATTTAGAGGATGTTTACAGTGAAAGAGTGGCTGTCCAGGAGTAAACGTGGACCCTTGGAGTACTGACGACCTACCAACATCCCCTCAAATCTAGAGACCTCCTGTTGGCCACAGAGGCTGTGGTGACTCCTCCCCTCCCCTCATCTGACAGGAGTGGTGCTGAGTCAGGAGGAGACGAGAAGTCTTCTGGGAAGAAGTCACAGTACTGCGGACGCTGCGGGCTGCTGTACATGCAGTACAGGCTGTGTTGACTGTTACAGAAATGAGACCACTAACTGTAACGAAGAATTTGAAAGCATATTGATGGTTTAGACGGCATAAATCTCAATATTCAAAGGTATACTTCATGTGCACATGCATTCAGAGTCCTTCTTCACTTCAGTGAGCGTATCAAAGAGAGCAAACACTGTTGAAAGTGGGACGATCTGCAACAGTTGATACTTGTACTAACTGTCAGGTTACTCACTACATAAGTGGTTGAGTGGTTCAGGTTGTATAACCACAGGACTCAGTCACTCAGCTAGGCCCAAAAAGTTGGCTGGTCATCAGAAAGTGTGCATCATTATTGTTACCAACCCAGACACTGGACCCAGAGCCTGACTTTTATTAGTCTGTATGGACAGAGCTTAGCTTCCCAGGTCCTCAAAACAATAAGAAGAGACCAACTTTAAACTATTAGGACAAGAATGACCTCCCATTTCTTCAACTGGCCATGAATTTTCCTTCTCCATAGAAACGGTTTGTTACGCGCGTGCCTATCACTCTAGAGGCGTAACAACTCATCTTTGGCTGTTTTCGTGGAGACTCTAAGAATCCAATCTCTGGCAACGCTTTGACCTCACACTACTACCATGGAGGTAAACCGCGTCAGGATTGGAACTCTGTAAGTAGTTTAGCTATCTTAACTTGTTAGTTTAACCGACGAATGGGGCGTTTCCTGATCGTCTGTCATACGGAGACAAGTTCCGCATGAGTTAGTATGTCAGGGGCGTATATAGCTAGGGGGGACGCTTTTCTCTGAGTGCCTACGCGAGACTAGCTTACGTTACTCCCGGAGTCAGCAAAGGCAGTTGGGAGTGACGGCAAGGAGCCCGCTTTACGCCTTCATGCGCGATATCGCGATATTATGCGCACGTCAATGGAACTCAGCACCACTCCTGACTTTAGACCGGCCGAGGGACCCTGAGCTGTAGCTGTCTGAGCGCAGCGAAGACGCTACTAAGGGCTCCGAGGCCGTCTAAATCGTGTATCTCCATCGACAAGCAGTATAGACGGAGGCCGTGCTGGCCGCCAAATCTTACAAGTCCTTCTTGCCGGGGGAAGCTATAATAGTCCTCATTTTAGTTTCTTTTTTCTTCGAAGAAGCATCGGATACAGTGATTTTGAAGTCGTCGCGGCAAGCTCAATGCTACAGAGCGAGTTTCTCTGCGCGGAAGCTTGCCACACTCCCATCGAAGATGCCATTTTTGGCAGGCGTCTCCGTGGAACCCGCACTTGGAATCCACGTTTTACGCAATCTGATTGGTCAATTTGAATCTTCCGACGTCTAAAATCTGCCTACTTTTACTTCCGGCTTCCTGTGTAAATTACGTACGCGGTTTCCGGTATAAAATTGTCGCTTTTTCGCTATTACGCTTTGCCCACTCATTCCTAAAATCCTGCCTACGCCCCTGTATGTATCCCGGCAACTTCGTGCAATAGGTATTCCGCGTCTGTTATGTCCGTAAAGCTATCAGGCTAACAATAAATAATCTCGGTGCAAACTCAGCGTTTTTTATCCCTCTATCTACAGAACCGCTGCAACCCTTTGATTTGTCATCTTTCGTTACTGGCAATTGTGTTATTATCATGCACTATGATTGTGAATTTCTCCTGTGCTGCCGACGAGACGGCGGAGTTGGTGGCATGTGACTACAGGCCTAATGAGGATGATTTAGTTGTCAGATTTTGTCCGAATTTGGACTACACCATTGTTCTTGAATGCAGTTTAACAAAAACATACTCTCTTTTGTGGACGCTGAACAATTCTGAAACAGTGGAATTTCATCCCCGTTGCAATGATTCATGCAAACAACAAATGAAGCAAGGATTTAATTTCAGCCTCATCAAAATGGTCATAAACAATGGTACTAACAATAACTCATACATATCGCAGCTTCGAGTGTCCACTAGTTATCTTAAGAATGTTGTCAACCACTCTAATGATTTCAATGTGACATGTCAGTCTTCAGTAAACAATAAAAGAATGTCATTTATACAAATTTCAGGTAAGCAGATTGTGGTATTCATAATTACCCTCGGCGCGCATGCGCAGCGAGGGTTACAGTAGTTGGGTTTGTCTGTTTGTCTGTCTGTTTGTCTGTTACTCTATATCTCACTAATCGAACGTCTGTTCGTCCCAGAAACGGTACCATCTACCCAACGGGCGACGAAGGTCAGAAAATAAAGGCGGTTTTCTCTGAAAATGCTCCGTTGCAAAGCTAGAGCGCGAAACGCAACGGACGGGATGGCTTACCACGGTCTTGCTCTGCGTACTTCGGAGGCACCAGAAGATGCAACTCAGGGCGTGTATCGCCTCTCGCATGCTATCTAGTAGTGTAGTTAGCCCGCGTCAGACTCTGCGCGAGCTGGCAAGAGACCACCGGTAACAGCTAAAACGAAACCCAGCCCATCAATTAGTGGTACGGCGCATGTGTTTACTTACGCGTGCGCGTCACAGTGCGCCGAGGGTTTGCACTTCAGTGCTTTTCATTATATTCTTGTTTAGTCTTTGTACTTTCCAATATTAGGTTCTTCGGTGAAAATATTAGTTCATCCTAGTCAAGATGACAACACTTGTGCACAAACTACCCAAACACCGAGGGTTTAACGAAGTGTATTCTTCCCACGTATGCCTACATAGGGGTAAAGTAGGGTATCTACAAGCCAAACCTAGCACATTACAATGGCGTACGCGCTGTGGGGGCTTGGGGGGCTGAAGTCCAACATTTTGATTTGTGTCTACGCCCCTGCATTATGGTTGACAGCAGAAGAAATTCAGTTGTCCTATGATACACAAAACAGTGTCTCAAGTAGAAGTTCCGTTTCTTATTTTCAGATTTTCCCAAAATCATAATTATGAAAATCGGCACTTTCGCTCTTAATAATAATATTATTATGAGAAAAGAAGGTATATTATACAATGCAGAATTTAGCAAAGTTTGATTGTCAACTTCACCAGTCAGGGTTCACAAATTTGTGACTTTGTAATACTATCCATACTACAGATGTGACAAATAATTATGTGAACCTTGAATTTTTAGGGTGACAAATTTGTTAACCGCATATTAGCATTGCTCTATAAAGTGCCCATCAATTGAAAGGTTCACAAATTTGTCATCCAGTTGCTCGATTTTTCTTAATTTTGTCTCTAAATCCATGAAAATCACAAATTCCGGAGATTGGAAACGGAACTTTCACTTGAGACACTGTTACAACTGTTTAGTATTATTAAGCTATTAGCTAAACAGGAGGGATAAAGGTCACAGGATAACAAACCTCATTTTTACTCCCCCACAGAAGGAAAAAACCCTCAAATTGTTAGTGCTGAATTTGGAGAAAGTGATGAGATCATTGTTACATGGATATCAGCCAATAATGATCTCACAAGGACCGAAATTGTTGCAGAAGACGAAAATGGCACCAAAACGTCTGTTTTTACTGAGTGGTACAAGAGAGAAGGCCAAATTAATGTCACTGAATCTTCAGCTACCTATAATGTTACTGTTATCGAGTACACTATGTGTAACACAAGTTTTTCCAGTAATACCACGAGGGTAAACCCATCACCAGTTATGGAGTACACTATGTGTAACACAAGTTTTTCCAGTAATACCACGAGGGTAAACCCATCACCAGTTATGGAGTACACTATGAGTAACACAAGTTTTTCCAGTAGTACCACGTGGGTAAGCCCATCACCTACCACAGGTAAATAATTATTATTCTATGTTGCATTGCTAATAATAATATTCTTCTATCTAATAGGGAGCTCACTGGTTCTGGATGCACAGCTGTTCTTACTGGTTCCAGTACTGCTTTTTAGTTACTTGTAGAGCGTATGATAGAGACTGAGTGTATATACACTGTGTAACCATGCAAGTATTTCCGGAAGTCGAGTTGCGTGCAACGCTGGCTACGCATGCGCACTTAAGCACGCGCTACGTAACATAAAGAGAAGGCGCACGCGCGCTCATTGCAGTAACTGGGAGACCAGAAAGATGGTTTTGCTCATACAGTTCCTTTTTATGTGTTTCTCATTACAAGGTAAAATCTGTTGGACTAGTTGCTAGCTATAAAGACTTTACATGCAGGTGTTCGTTGTGAACAGCCCTCCTTGGAGCCTGGACCTTCTCTGTATGTCTGTCCAGAGGAAACTTCAGTAAAATGCAGTTGTTATGGCAGAGAGATCAATTCAATGGCATGGATAGCAGAGCCCTACGTTCCAGCTAACAACCCTATTAGATATGCTTCTGGACACATAGCAACAGGCTCCCACCCTGTTTACAGTAGGGGCTTCTTCGTTGCTAATCTTACAAATCTCCATAGAAGTGGAGCTAGCATACACATAGCAGATCTGACTTCTGAACTTACTGTCATGACTAGTGGGGTAAACAATGGAACACGTATTACATGTAAGACATACAGAGGTCTTCAGTCATCACAGAGGTCTACATTCTTTTATCATGCAGGTAAAAGGTTAAGTGAAGTGTTTCATATTGAGTCAAGTCATTTTGACATTATTTTAGGTTTACCTGTTAGCAAAAATGACTCAATTACATACCAAAAGAATGAGACTTATTATACAGCAGTACTAAAGCTTGGAGATATGTTTGATGGAGGAGGAGTTCCAATTGATCACTACATTATTCAAGTGGACAACGGCACACAGTTTGAAACTCCAGGCCTCACTTACAGTTTTGACATCATGTACAATACTACACTGTCAGTGAACATCTCAGCCCACAACTGTGCAGGATATAGCCACTTTCATGCACATCAAATAGAGCGTAATGAAGGTGGGTATTCAGATGAAGTAAAACCATTTTCAGCAAAGTTCCAACTACATAGTTACGGAAATTCTGAAGATGAAGGTGAGCATTTGAATAATTATGACAAATTTTAATGATTTTATGTACACAGACCCCACTGCAAACACACAAAAGACCATTATTACTATTACCCCTACACTGTTAGGAGCAAATATGCTAAACAGTATGACCAAAGTTGAGTATAATGAAGGTGAGCAGTGAAGATGCAGGAACCTCAAAAATAAGCATATTATTTACAGATTATGTGCATGTATCTGTGGCAACAACACGCAAGAGTACACAAGTGGCAAAAAGTAAACTAACTCCCGGCAGGATGTCCCTGGTTTTGGCTGTAGTCCCAGTGACATGTGTTTCAGCACTTTTCATCATCACAATTACAATCCTGGCAGTTGTGCGCACTAGAAAGAAAGTGGGCACGACCTGCACTAACCACACTGGTGTAACAAAGCAAGGTGAGTTACCAAAAAACGTATTTTTCCTATATAGCTATATATATACCTATCCATTACAAAACAGGTGATGACCCTCCAACTCCAGTAGACAGTAGTAGTGTACCCATATATGACACCCCTAGTTGGGACACGGTCTATGGTAAGTCTGGGCAAAACCACACCATGGACCATGACTGCTTCATGGAGAAAAACCCAGTGTACCTGATGGCAAAAGACAAAGAAACACAAGCATCACAGCATGTTTATGAGGGCCTTTGAAGAGAGTCAACTGACATGTAACTCTATACTAACCGCATAGCTACCTATTATTTGTAGCCATTATTTTAGAATTGTGTGTAGTGTAGCTATTATCTCATAAAGCAGATTATCAGTTATTCTGTTAATCTTCCCGTTGACAACCAACATCACTGAACACAAGGCACGTGCACTTTGTCAGCTTACTTGGTTTGTAGTCAGAGGCTAATGAACCTCAACGTTCACAGATGTGCATAGCGAGCTATTGTCAAATGACCACAAACTAATGAAAGCACACCCAAGAATACAGCACTGAGAGTTTCCCAAAAAATTGTCATGGCACAACAAGCCAATTCTGGGAATGATGGTGGGCAGAGAAAACATGAGAGCTCTGTTGTTCCTAAACTAAAATTTCTTTCACAATAATTCTGAATTCTGAATCTGTGTGTCACTGAAATAAACAGTTTTGGACACATGGTTATGAACCCTTGGCTAACTTTTCAACCTGGCTTTCGTGGAAATTACATCATGCATGACTATGAAAGTGTATATAGCTAAGAGTGAATGTTTACCATGATGGAAAGTGTGAAGGACAACACTCAAAGATTCGTGTCATTCTGAACCTTTGGCAAAAGTCAGCAGAAACACACATGCCAACAAATTTAGACACCTTTGAGTGCTATGGTGCTTTGCTACTGGAGACCCTTGAGTTGTGTGGCAGTGGCGTTGTATATATGCTCTTTTGGAATGAGCCTAGCTCTAAGCCTATAGTCTCACCTGAATGTGACGGACACAGCATATGTTGGGATTCTAAATATACGCGTGGCAGCATTGACTTGGCAAAATACCTGGTCACAGCCCTTCCTTGAAGTGTATGGCTTGTGGTTTTGAGGGTTTTCAACAACACTGCACAAGCAGTGCCAGTGGGTTTAGAAGGGTAAAAGCGGAGGTCACCCACCTAATTCCAGTCAATTTGTGTCTGTGCCTCTATAGATCCATAACACTATTGAACACATACTAGCAAATAAAGATATGTGGTATATATCATACACTAATTATCATTCATAGGTGTCTCACAAATTCATGCAAAAATAATTATGTAGGCATGGTTGTGAATGAAGTTTGGACTCATCTGACATGACAACCTTACATCCCTTCTTCCAACATACCTACTTGATTTAATATTGTTTAGAATAGCTGCACTGTATAACATGATTGTCAGGGCATCATAATAATAGGAGGTAACTACTGAGGTTGTCTAGAGCTCAGGACTGGATTCCCTAATCGACTGAGACGAGTACACTACAAACGTCTGTCAATTAGCGAAACTTGTGATTATCTACGTAGACAGCCTTTACACAATAATTATACTCTAAATTTACACACATGACAACACAATTAAGTGTCTTATGACATGATGTCCTGACAAGAATTACTAACAAGTCGTAAAATCATTTATTTAAAATGAAGGGGGTAGGGGGAGACTCCGATGAGCTTATAATCCGGCATTTAATCTCCTAATATGGACTGCTTATTATCCGGGATTATAAAGAAGACAACTTGGGATAAATCATTCCGTGACACCTACATGTCCGACAACATATTGTCCAAATGTGAAAGAGGGCAAGCCCCCTATTAAAATTATTAGCTCTTTGTCACAGTCAGAGTGCGTGACTCTAGGCCAATGAACATGTTTAGAAGACCCGGACTGGCTTTATAAAGCAGGCTAGCAGTTAATAATTCAGTTACAAGCGGCGTGCCATGTCCACTATTGAGAATAGTGAGATGTAAATTGTTTTTGTTTTCATTATTTGTAAAATCTTAGCCCTTGCATTTTGGTTTTATCTAGCTATGTATAATACAAGCTATAGCTACTGTCTTGAAGATTTGTGGAGAAGAAGAAGCAGAAAACTCTGAAACCATCATGATGAGATGTTCCCCGAAGGCTTCCCCGCAGACTGCAACAGCGCAATCTTGGATGCGCGGATTCTGCACTCTTATAGAATAACTCTTCCACTGCATGATCCCCTGCGGTAACAAAAACCTGTGTTGAGTGAGGTGAGAGAGAACAACAATGGGGGGAAGCTAGCTAGACAAATAGGTTCATACTGTTTTGTCGTGACTATCCACCATTGTCGAGAACCACAGCCAGAACAACCAGAGAAAGACGGAAAAACTGCTTTTCCAGACATCTTAAGTTAAATATTTCTTTGGTCACTCTCCATAACTCGTGCAATAGAAAAAACTGAACGAATATAATAATTATTATAGCTACCCTCAATTCAGCTCTATAAAGACGATATAGGTAGCTAATGACCATGTAGCCAATGAACCCATGTGTTTATCATGTAAGAGTGTGTGGTGAGGAACTGAACTGTGTCCTTCATACTATTAGGACTAGGGCTCACAAAAAATTTACCATGATTGTAATAGCACCATGTGGACAGATTTAGACCATGAAATAGTGGGCTGTCCAGGAGAAAACGTGGACCCTTAGTGTACCGACTACCTACCAACAACCCCCTCAAATCCAGAGACCTCCTCTTGTAGGATGAAAGTCAGGCTCACACAAAATTCTTTAATCCAACAATGTAGCTAGCCCATGTGGACAGATTTTACAGATGTTGCTACAGTGTCTATACTAATAAACATTGACTCTTAGATACCGATGAAGTACCAAATCCACTCAAATCCAGAGATCTCCTGTTGACCACTGAGCCTGTGGTGACTCCTTCCTCCCCTCATCTGACAGGAGTGGTGCTGAGTCAGGAGGAGCGAGGTGTCTTCTGGGAAGCTGCGGCTGCCTGTTCATGCAGTTACAGGCTGTGTTGACGTTACGGAAATGGAGGATGAAGTGAGAACACTAGCATCGGTGATGTCTATCACAACTGTTTAAATCACCATAGGAGATAAACGAGGACTGCTGAAGTCATATGGTATGAGTCTGGGGTCAAAGGTACTTTTATCTGTTCTGGATAACAATATATTACTATCTACATTTATGTTAGCTCTACTGAAACAAATCCAAGAAGCAAGAGTGTGGAAAGTGGTATGCTTATAGTAACGTTAATCCTCACTGAAAATGCTGATCCTTGTGCAGGCTATAATACGTCACCAAACAGGACTCAGTCAGCTCGGCCAAGAAAGTCACACGTCAAGGAAAGAAGCTGAGACTGCTGTGCATGCAGTTCCAACATGATGACTTGTAACAGAAACTTGAGCATGACGTAGAGACGAGCGATCAAAGGTCGCCACAGCAATGGTCGGACCACTACTCTGGGAATATCAGGCACTAAGCGTAGATCTGACTACATGCAATACAAAGCGACACATTGACCTGACACAACTCCTACAAAAATTAGCCGCCAGGGCTGACTTCCAAGCGGAGCGCTCGTCCTACAAAGTCAACGTCCGAAGACTGGAAACATCGGACAAAAGATCACTTGTCGTCGACGCTCCGTGTTTCTAGCGTCTCTTGTACACGACACTCACATACATATTTGTTGTCATACGGCAATAGCCGATAAGACGGCTCTAGACTAAGTGACGCACTAGCACTAACCGCGCTACACTGACTGTACTACTTGTCTACTAGTGATACTATCGCTGGTGTCCTTGCTAGTAAAGTGCTTGCGCTTAAGGCAGTGTCTGTGTTATGCGTCATAAGATGCTGGCCTTTGCTTTTTGTGTCTTCTATCTATAGTGACCACTGTCATGAGCTCGGCGCTCTCAGCTAGGGTCTGCTGAAGGATTAGCAATACTGCGATTTCAGACGTGCGTAACTGCTTCCTTTGAACTCGTGCTGCTTGCGCATGCGCGCCCTGTGTCGCAAGCTACGGTCTATGCGAGTCAGAAAACTCACATACGCCTTTTATCCTTTCTGCTGGTGCGTATGAATTGCATGCCACATCTGTATAGGAAATTTGGTTTCGAGTCAATCTGTTTACATGCTTGTAGTGCTTAATTAACCCTCAGCACATGGGTAGTTGATCTCTGTGTGTGTGTGTGTTTGTCCGTTATTCGATAACTCACTTTTTGAGTTAGTCTCCCGAAAAATGAAGCTACCTATTCAGTGGCAGATGAAGATCAAAAAAATTTCGGATTTTCAAAAATGCGTTGTTCTGACCCAGAGCATTTTTCCTGTACTACTGGCTCACTCTTGGTTTGCCATTTGTTGCACCCACATAACGTGCGCACTACGCGCCCACCCCCCCTCAACTGTGTGTTGGTGGTGACACGCGTAGAGTGTCGCACACACACCACGCCAGAGCTGCAACCTCATAGCTTCGGGTTGTGCAATCCCTTACATGAAAACTAAACGGCTCACGCTTTCACATGAATAAAGTTGAAAAAAGAGAGAGAGAGAGAGAGAGGGGAAAACTCCTAAAGGGCTCACTATGCACAATTTGGTCAACTTTGTTGCCTTACCACTGTGCCAACAGCTATGCTATTTCCGAAGCATTATCTCTCCTGACTTCCGTGCCGAGAGTTTAGCACTTAGTTCAGTGATTGGCGTATGCTATATAATAGTCCTGCTTTTAACTAATAGGTTTTACAAGATACTTCTGTCAATTCCCTTGAGGAACAGGGTTTATCGCAGCAGAAATGTTAGCCCACTGCCACTGACAGCATAGAGATGTGGGACATACAGGAACATATAGACTTTGGGGACAGGAGCAAATGCACAGAGCGATAGATGCAGTATTACATGAGGGTATGAGCATTCGTCATGCTGCTGAGCAGTATGGTGTCCTACAGTCATCTCTGGGCGACCGGTTAAGTGGCCGTGTGTTAGCAGATGCCTCATGTGGTCCAGCAACTTACCTCTCATTTGCAGAAGAGGAAGAGCTGGTTGTTTTTCTTACACACTGTGCCTCAATAGGTTACACCAAGTCTCGTAAAGAGGTGTTAGCCTTAGTTCAGCGTGTTTTGGAAAGTCGAGGAATTCAGAATCCGTAACCAATGGGTGGTGGAAGTCATTTCACGTAGACATCCTGGTCTAACTCTCAGGACAGCAGTACCTCTCTCACTCGCCCGGGCAAAAGCAACAGATCCTGAAATGCTGGCACGCTATTTTGACTTGCTGGAGAAGACGATACAGGAGAATGACCTGGTAGGGAAGCCAGGGCAATTGTTTAACATGGATGAAAGTGGCATGCCATTGGATGCCAAGCCTCCCAAGCTAGTTGCTGTGAGAGGAAGGAGCCGCTGTGTCAGCCATAGGACCAGGAGACAAAACCCAGATAACTGTTGTGGCATGTGCGAGTGCTGCTGGTTATTGTATTCCCCCAGTGGTGATCTGGGAGAGAAAAATTCTATCACCAGAATTAACTCACGGCGAGGTTCCTGGAACCATATATGGTTTGTCTAAAAATGGGTGGATGGACATGGAACTCTTTAACCTCATTTTTTGCGCTTTGCACCCGCAGTCCGACCAATTTTACTCCTTCTAGATGGTCACTCTTCTCATTACTGCCCAGATACTGTCCGACTCGCAGCAAACGAACAGGTCATTTTATTCACTCTGCCGCCCAATACAACTCACTTATCACAGCCACTTGACAAAGGGTGCTTTGATCCTCTTATAGTGCAGGGTTCAGGGTCACAGGAGTGCATCCTCTAAACAGGGACATATTTTCTGATGTGGAGGCCCTCCATTGGTAAGAGAGAGTGGACTAGCTTTCATCCCACTATATAGTCCTGCAACACGACGTACCAAGCCTCGTGCCTCTGAGCAATGTCTTGAAAGTAGCTCTCCCCATCTTGATGATTCAAGCACATACCACCTTGGTGATGATACTTCAGAGCTTCCTGACACCTCTTGTGTTTGGCTTCAGGCTCCACAATCCTCAGCAGTGAGCAGATTCCTCAGGTGTCCCTCTCCTGTTAACAGACAAACAACATATCGTCCAAAGTCATGTGACCGCGTATTGACAAGTGCAGAAAGTCTTAGCAAAATTGCGGAAAAAGAGCGAGCAAAGCAGGAAAAGGAGAAGAAGAAGGTGGAACGAATGAAAGCCAAGGAAGAAAGAAGAAGAATGCTAGCCTCCAAAGGTGAATTATAATTGGTGAGCAGGAGCTCCCTGTACATACTCATGAATGATTGTGTATCCGCAGTTGGGTCGCTCCCACTTGCGAAAAGTGCTTAGCATTGAGTAGTAGATTTTTAACAAAGGTGTTATACTCTGAGTTATAACTAAGAATTATTTTTTGCTTTTAGTTGCTAAGAAGAAAAGGTGAACCGCTCCGCTTACAACACACCAAAATGTAGACATTGGTGGTAAGGTAGTACGTAGTAAGAAGTAACGGGATTTGATTATTAACCTGACAGATGCTAGTGAAAATGTATTTTCCTGTGAAGAATTGTACCTTTTTAAGAGAAGATATGAAAATGGATACGACTTAACTCATGATCATCGCTACAACTTGTGGCTTTCCTTTCAATGTGGGTGTATTTTGCGAGCCAAGCAAACATAATATTGTTGTTATGTGCACGTTATGCGCCATTGATGATATGAATGACTCAGAACAAGGTATGTAAACTGTGGTTGGTTTAAAAATTATGTGCCACACACAATTTACAGCTCCAGGGACAAAGGAGAGAGAGAATAGGCCGTAGAGGAAAGGTAAGTTCTTTTTACAGTACAGTGCACTGTAAGGCATTTTTACATTCTTTCACTCTAGTGCAAACACGTAGCACACGTGCAAGGGTGGCACCACTGACTGACTACAGTAAGTTTTGTTATTGTTTGTTAAATTTTTAGTCATTTATATTAGGTAAATGTGTTGTTGGAACATGTGACCATACAAAAGCCAGGAATTGGGTTCAGTGTGAAAGATGCACCCAGTGGTATCACTGCGTGTGTGTAAAGATATCTTTAACAAAAGCAAGAGATGGAACCTTTTATTGCCCTGGGTGCGTGGTCTATGGCGCTAGTGCTATGGCAGCCACCTGAGTATTATTATTATTACTGTTTCTAAGCTTTTTTGATCACTGGTTCAGTATTTCTCTTCCTCAGTAATGCGCATGCGCGTCCGATTATCGAGGGCAGGACCCTTGCGCGACGACGTGTAAACGCGGACTCGCCTCACTTGTTGTATACGTATATGGTAGAGGGGTAGTCTTACTCTCCATCCAGGGGCAGCAGAGAGAGGGAGAGTGAGAGAGGAAGGGTGGGAGCACAGTCAGAGGAGAGAGGTAGGTACGTGTATGCCAGCGCCTCAGCCTCTTAAAGCTGCTGCCTGTGATTTGGTGCGTGTATATACAAGAGAGCAAGAAAACGGAGCCGTATCATCTTTATCATTTCTCATCAGAGTTGCAATGTTTATCGCGGATGATGTTGCTATGTATATATTATTGCTGAACAAGTCTCCGAGCGCACTACACGCGCAAACAGATGCATGTCACGACTCGACGAGACGACGAGTCCTATATCGCGTAGCTACGCATGACGAAGAGTCATCCACGGCAAGCAGGGAACGACGAATAGCCTGCTTTGCGCCCAACGCTTATCAACGGCAGAGGGACATGTTTCTGCGCATGCGCTGTATACTTACCCCTCGCTCTATCCGCCCTAGTATGAATTCTATTTCTCCATAGAAACTAAATGCCCATGGTAAACCACCCCCTGAGCGCTGAAGGTGACATGGGTGTGGACAGCAACACCCACGTTTTGAAGGGAGCCTGGTGAGGAATTATAATAGCTATAGTTTACCTTTCCCCCGCCAACTAGCTGACGCGGCAAGTTATCGCCTGCTCGCTGTTTATGTTTATTTATATATCTGCAGCTATCTTTTTTATATTCTTGCAATTGGAATTCTCTTATCATCCATTGTCGTGAAAGTCAATGCTCAAGATGCTCTAGAGTTGACGGGGTGTGATTGCGTACCTAAAGCAGACGATTCACAAGAGGTTGTTAGATATTGTCCGGAGATGAACTACACAGTAGTGTTGGAATGCCGTGCGAACGATGCAGTTTCTGTTGATTGGAATATTACAGAACTAGCAATGCCTTCTTCATTCAATAGTTTTAGAGTTTGTAACTCCATGTGCAATGGTACAAGTGGGGGGATTACCTACAGCCTCATCAAAAGGATGGAGAATAACAATGGTCGCTATACCTACACCTCACAACTTCGAGTACATACTAGTTATCTTCGAGGTCTAGACCAAAGCAATCTGACTGTGACCTGCAAGGCCACAACCAAAACGAAAAGGATGCTACTTGTTAAAATTTCAGGTATTTACTTACTTTTTCATAGTTTACTTGCCATAACTTCTAATCGCCATTGATGATATGAATGATATAGACCAATATTATTCGTGCAGAGGGAAACTCTCCTCAGATCGATAAAGCCACTTTTATCGAAACTGGTGGATTAAGAGTAAATTGGTCATCAAACAACACTGACATAATCGAAACTGAAGTTATCTGGGAAAACGCTAACCTAAACATCACAAACAGTACTACGGTTGAGTGGTACAGGAGAGAAGTAACTATAGATATCATTGAGTGTGGAGTTTCATATAATGTTACGGTAGTTGAACATAACAAATGCCAAGACAGCTTTTCTTCAGGAAAAATGTTTGTCAACGGACAGCCTGCTCCATGTTCCTCTGAAACTAGTAAGTGCTAATGACGAGTGAACTAATTAAAGTTACTTCTTTTAATAACAGTTTCAGCAATGTATGGATTTTCCCCCACCCCAAGATACTCTGAAACCCCACTACTTACAAGCACTGAAGGTGATAGCTAGCTAGGTGTCATGGTTTTAAAAAAAATATCCTCTCTATCAGAATGTTTGTCCACACCAACAACAAGTCCTGGACAGCCAAACAGTGCAGGTAATAAGACTTAGCTACTCATGGACAATGTCCTATGATGGCTAAAATATCTTCATATATTATTTTTAGGTGGCTCCACAGGAACATTTTCTTTACTGATAACTCTACTAATAGCTGGTGGCACAGTGTGACTGATAACAGCAACCGAGAGTAGTATCTGTAGTAGCTCTTATAGTTTCCGTATTCGGTTATAAAACTGAAATATTATTGTCTTCTTTATCGAAGTTCAGCTCGCGGCGGCTGTGGGCGGTGCTCGCCAACACGCATGCGCAAAATTTGATTCTTAAAAGGGGGTCCGGTCCGGTAGGCAAAAAACGCCATGTAATTAAAAAATCAATTTCAAATTTACAGTGCAAACCATGCATTTTAGTTTTTGTCACAACATAAGAACATGTTAGAAGTGAATTTTGAATGATTTTGTGTGTGCTAAAAGTGTTCAAATAAAACAAAATTGTGCCAAAGAGACATTCCTGATAGTTACCGACTTGGGGCAGCTCTAGTAAAGCCATCCTATGACTTCAACCTCCAGAAAATGGCACACAGGTACCTATAGAAGCATGAACTGTGATACTACATTTTACTTTTTCAAAATGTGCTCTCCACAATTTTAGGCCTTGGTGCGATATGCTTAGCAAGAATCCCCATGGTCACCCCACAACTATAACACACACATACTTCAAGTATGTGACAAAAACACAATGTCATATCATAGATCTTGTGAAGTGGATTCTAATGATACCAAATTTGATATGGTTGTCTGCACATACAGATTTATAAAAATGCCCCAAACTTGAAAAGTGAGCATTTGAGAAACAAGCCGAAGAAGAACACACACATAGAGATCACAGTACATCTGGAAAAATGAGTCTCTAGCTGGTCCTAGCACGTTTACTAGGTCCTGGGTCACAGTCAAACCCTCCAGGCACATACACTGGCCCCTCCCTCTCTTTATTCCTGTCTTCAATTCCCTTTCGCTTCTTTCTGGCCCTCTTCCTGAACGCCTTTCCGCGTTCACTCGACTTGTATTTCGATTTTTGCACCTGCAATCTGTCTCTCTTTCTGAGCACATGCCTACAGAAATGAGATGTAGTGAGTTCAATCCTTTTGGACAGAGAGAGAAGAGCACATGCCCCATCATTGAATCTGCACACGGCAATTGAGCAGGCGATGTCCACACTTTCCTTTCCAAGAAAGAGTTCCTTGGGACATAGCTTCCAGACTGTCGAGTGCAATGCCTCGTTGGCATTTTGTGTATATCCTTCAAGACACTTTTGAAGCAGGATGGGACTTCCAAGGCGTGCATAAATCGGTTTCAGGAGAAGAACAATGGCCTCGGGAATCGGTGGTTTGTTGTGGGAGTATTCAATCCCAAGGGCCTGAGCATGTTGCCACTTACACCACGAGTGTTCACCAGGTGGGCACAGATGGTGTCGTGGTGTTTCATGAGTTACTGTGTAGTAAAGTAGCTTGGACAGCCCTAACCATTTGGTCTAGGTTTCCCTTGTTGCTCCTGATCGCTTTTCCATAGTAGTTCTGGAGAGAGTTTATTAGGGAGTCTGTGAGCCGCCGCTGTTTAGTCCTTGTCATGGCGCTTGAAGTGCTGGAGAGGGCGAAAATATGACTATCCAAGAAGCACGTGTAGGTGCGAGTTCTTGCACGCGACGATGACGTCACGTAATGCCATGGCAACGGGCGAAATTCTGCAATTTCATTGCTTGGTCCGCGTGCAACTAACGCGGAGTAGTAAACCACACAGAAGTATTTGCTTGTAGTTGCCAAACTAAGCGCATGTGCGCGTCTATAACATTACCTTTGCCGTTACAGTGCTCTTCTAATTATACGCAAAAAATTTTGAACTTTGTATGTCAATGTATGGCAGAGTAGTGGTGTGTTGCATGTTGAAATCATAAATAATGGTGTCTTTTGTCCCTGAGAAAGGGAATAGCTGTTGGATATGGAGGTATATGTCTCATATATAGTCTAAAACACTAAGCTGGCTTGGTCCTTAGGACCTTTAGGAACTTGAAGAACATGAACAAATATTTTGCATTTTTTGCCTACCAGGTACCAGACCCCCTTAAAAGAGCGTGTAGCAATACAGCGCAGAGTGAGCGAGCGCGATAATCGTTTCGAGTGATGATTTTCCCAATTCAACTCGTTTATATTTACTTCTCATTGCAAGGTAAGATTCCCCCCGTACCTACCAGTATCGACGTACCGTACAGGTTTTGCAGGCAGTGTCTATGGACGGCCAACCCTGGAGCCAGAAATATCTGTTTATGGCTGTCCAGAAGACACTTCAGTGAAATTAACTTGTAATGATCATGAAATTCATTCCATGGCCTGGAAAGCAGATCCCTATATTCCAGTTAATAATCCTATTTTGTATGTGTCGGGTCAAATAGCAACCGGCTCACACCCAGTTCATCATAGAGACGCCTTTGTTGCAACTCTCACAAATTTAACAAGAAGCGGTGATGACATTCATGTGGCAGATTTGACTTCAGAACTCATTTTCACCACTAGTGGGGTGGACAATAACACCAGAATCACATGTCAGACAAATGTCTGGAAGCCAACAAGAAAAAATGACCATCACCTTCTACCATGCTGGTATAAACATAGGAGTCTAAATGCATAGGTAGTTTACATTGTTAAATCCTATTCAGGTTTGCCTTACTTGAAGAATGACTCAATCATGCGCATGGAGAAAGGGGCATATTTCACAGCAGTACTTGAGCTAGGAGATATGTTTGATGGAGGAGGAGTTCCAATTGATCACTACATTATTCAAGTGGACAACGGCATACAGTTGGAAACTCCAGGCCCCACTTACAGTTTTGACATCATGTACAATACTACACTGTCAGTGAACATCTCAGCCCACAACTGTGCAGGATATAGCCAAATTTACCTAGTTGCACGTGAGTAATTGTACAGTTTAAAGATAGGAACTTTTTATTAATGTTCCACAGTCTCTGCTGCAAAATCACAAAACCCCATAATTACTGCTTCACCAACACTCTTTGTGACAAGTGCACTTAAAAGTAAAGGTGAGTTTATAAGAAACCTTGAATTAAGCATTAATTATATACCAATTCTATGTCATCTTTCAGCTACCTTACCCAAGACAATCACACCCAAGAACAAACGAAGTCTCAGCAAGATGTCACTGATTTTGGCTGTGGTCCCAGTAACATTAGTTTCAACCCTTTTCATTATTACTCTTACAATCCTTGCCCTTGTTTGCTTCTCCAAGAAGTTTCCTAAACGGAACAGCAACTGTTGTGATTCAACAAAGCAGGGTGAGTTAAACCTGCGGTGTTTACCAAGAAACAGTATGGTTTTAAATAAAATACAGGTATTCACTCCTCAACTCCAGTAGACAGTAGCAGTGTACCCATCTACGACACGCCTAGTTGGGACACAACCTACTATAAACCTGGGTACAACCTCACCACGGACCATGACTGCTTCATGGAGGAAAACCCAGTGTACCTGATGGCAACCAATACAAGAGACAAAGAATACTCTGAAGCAGAAGAAGCACACACATCACAGGATGTTTATGAGGCACTTTAAAGAAAGTCAATTGATGTATAAAACTCTAAACTCACTGTAGAGTCTATAGTTTTTAGCCATTAGTTTAGCGTAGGCTAATTTTTGTTAATCCTCCAATTTCTTGGTTTGTAGTCAGAGGCTAATGAACCTCAACGTTCACAGGTGTGCATTCAAATGACCACACATTCAACAAACAAAAGGAGACCCAAGAACAAAAGCCCCAGTGAGAGTTTCCCACAAACTGTCATGTCAAAACTAGCCTATTCTGAGAATCATGGTGGGACACACATAACATGAGCGCTCTCTGTTGTTCTTAAACAACGATATCTTTCATACTAACTATGAAAGAAATTGTTCTGAATCTGTGTGTCACTGAAATAAACAACACATGGTTATTTCATTAGTAATGAAAGTGAATGCCGAGCAAATCAGTAAGTATGGGCCATTTATATACATTGAGCATGTACTAATAGAACAGCCATTGTGGACCACTCATCATCAGGGACATTTGGCAGAGTCAAAATCCAATGTCTGATGCAGAATGTCTCAGAGGTGTATATACTTTACTAAGCCATAATATTATTAGTGAGGAGTCAAGTTAGTGGATGTGGGAATGGATGTAGCGATTGGTAAGACAATTGCTCAATTTTAATAAGCAAAATCAGTCATCATGATATTGTAATGTGACGTACAATAAGCAAAAGCACCACTGACAGTTCACTGAACTCCAAGCTGTTAATGTGATAAACACATTTTGCTAGCGAGTTCAGGAAAACAATGAAAAGAGCTTGCATGCATCATTCCTAAACCCATTCAAAAAGAGCTGTCCTTTGTGTAGTTGACTTGTTTGCTTTACTGTTTGCCTTGGCCACCTCATTATTGATGGCTGGCTTTCATGTGAATGAAAGTGTTTCATGACATTACGAAAGTGTAGCTAAAATGGAATGTTTACATATCAGGTATTGAAGCAAACATGCCTAAAATCACCACGATGGAAAGTGTGAAGGACAACACTCAAAGATTCACGTCATTCCGAACCTTTGGCAAAAGTCAGCACAAACACACATGTCAACAACTTCAGACACCTTTGAGTGCTATGGTGCTATGCTGGATACCCTTGAGTTGTGAGGCAGTGGGGTTGTATGCTCTTTTGGAAATGAGCCTAGCTCTAACCTAGTCTCACCTCAGAATGTGACGGACACAGCACATGCTGGGATTCTAAATACACATGGCAGCATTCACTTGGCAAAATATCTGGTCACAGCCTTGCCTTAAAGTGCATTGGGTTGTGGTTTTGAGAGTTTTCAACAACACTCCAAAGGTCAGTGGGTTTGAAGGGTACAAGTGGGTCTCACCCACATATTTCCGGTCAATTGGAGTCTGTGGCTCCATAGACCCATAACACTATTGAGCACACACTAGTAAGTGAAAACATGTGGTATCGTACACTAAATCATTCATAGGTGTCTCACAAATTCAAGCAATATGTAGGCATGGTTGTGTATGACTTTTGGACTCATCTTTCTTAAGACATGACAAACCTATATACACCCCCTTATTAACCCTCGGCGCGCATGCGCAGCGAGGGTTACAGTACTTGGGTCTGTGTGTCTGTCTGTCTGTCTCTCTGTTACTCGTCATCTCACTTCTCGAGTGTTCGTTCGTCTCACAAAGGATACCACCTACTTAACGGGCAATGAAGGTCAGAAATTTCGAAGGTTTTCCCTGAAAACGCTCCGTTGCGAAGCTAGAGCGCGAAAAAGCCAATATGCAAATACACAACGGACGGGGATGGCTTACCGGGGTCTGATCAATCCGTGTGCTTTGCGTACCTCGGAGGCACCAGAAGATGCAACGCAGGGCGTGTATCGCCTCTCCCATGCTATCTAGTAGTGTAGTTAGCCCGCGTCAGACTCTGCGCGAGCTGGCAAAAGACCGCGAGTAACAGCTAAAACTAAACCCAGCCCACCAATTAGTGGTACGGCGCATGCGTTTACTTACGCGTGCAGTAACAGTGCGCCGAGGGTTTGCACTTCAGTGCTTTTCATTCCAACATGTACTTGTTTTGACTATAAAACACAGCACTCATCAAAATTTCACGGTATTACTAACAACACATTCTTCAACACTGTTTAGAGTTTGCCTATTTTTACGAGGTGATGGACTGGCTACTAAACAATGCATCTACAACTAGCCATAGGACCAACTTTCTATCTACTAGGTGGTGAATGGGTGTTGACCTATTTCACATGCAACCAATGAGGACTAGCTGTCCACAGAGAGTAGCATATGTTGAGTCTGCCACTGGAGGAAGATGAGGGAGGCATCGCAGGAGTGTGAATGGTGATTATGACTGGTTGATCACCCCTTAATATAACCTCCTGTAACCATGAATGTGGCCGAAGGGATGCAGCGGAATGTTTGTGGTTCTGTTAGGTTGATACAATCTTCTGCTCTTTACCTGAAGCAGTTCAACTGCAGCAGTTGGGGAACAATCATTGACTTGTTAACACTTAACCAGCCAAGGACACATAAATGTGTCCATTGTCTCCATTAGCAGGAAGATTTTTTATGGAGGTTATAATACTAGGCTTTAATACTAGGCTTTAATACTTTGAACATGGTTTTTGCTTGTATATTAGTGGTGTGGAAAGGGTTAATGCTCAAATCTCAGTGCATTTAAAACCTAATGCACATTTTCAGTGCATTAAGAAATTTAATTTTGCGTGCATGTCCCAAAATTGAATTGTCTGATTGGCTAACATTACAAGCACTAACAAGTCATTTAAGAGACATGAAGCATTTGCACACTTCAGAATCAAAGCCAACATTAAAATCCAAGCTACTTGCATAAAATTATAGTGTGAGTGCTTACCGATTTAACCATTCTAAAGACTTAAGGGACATTCACCGCTGATAAAAAATTATTAGTTAGAAGTCCCAATTCTCGATAACTACACTGTTAAAAATGGGGTGTTACGGCAACACCTTTTGGGGCGCCCGTGGGACTGTGCCAGTTTGGCACCCTTGGGGTGTTAGGGTTGGTGTTAACCATCACCCATAAGAGTGTACAGGAACACCCTTTCTGGGGTGATGTACACCCATAAGAGTGCTATTTAGCCTTTCTATTGATGCTACAATACACCCTTTGGGGTGTTCATAAACATTTCATAGGGTGTTCGACAACACGCGGTTGGTGCTCTAGAGCGCTGTTCGTTGTTGCAGTAGCGCCATTGCTCTTACTGTTGAAGTGACAAAAATATTTCACAGTAAAAGAGCATGAGATACAAAGAGCAATGATACAGTAAAGAGCATAAGATAAAATATAATGATGCTAGAGTCCTTTTGTCAGAAGTAACCACATAGAGATAGTCTACTTCTACTTGCATTTGAAAATGAGCGCGAACATGATCTCACTAACCACCGGTGTACGTGGGCGTGCCGGATGGTAAAGGTCATGCTGCGCTGCACGCGCAGACACCTTCGACGCGCATGCGCAGTGGGTGTGACTCGTCTGTATACTGTCATTCTCATTTACATTGACTATGATGCACAATGTCTCCAGCACAATATTTTTTTAAAGACATCTTCATGGTATTCACTCTCCTTATAAGGATCAAATTTTATCTCCATGATCAATTCTTCTTAATTACTTTCTTGCACCTACCGGTGTGTGAAACAATAACAATAATAAAACAGTGAAGAGAATGTGATATGGGATGAAGAAATTTTCTGACATTGCGTCCTATGAACAATAATTATTATTAAACAACTATGCACAAGGCATAGAAAGGAAGTTGTGATATAGGTGCTGGGTCAGTGTAGGATTACACCCTTAGGTGTTGTGGTGAGCACTAGAATGTGCCATGGGTTACTCTACACCCCAAGAGTGTTAGTAAACACCTACTTAAGCGTAATGAACACCCCTTAGGTGCTCCAATACACCCTGCCAGTTTTGGTACAGAAAATGGGGTGTTAGATAACACCGTATTTTTAACAGTGTAGTCATGAATTGGTTTTTAAAAATAAGGAATGTTTTATGTCACATTCACAATGAGAAACTTGAAAGAAGTCACAAGTGAAAACAAAACACTGTACTGTGAAAGCATGTGTAGGGTAAACATGGCAACATTTCCGTCTTATTTCCTGATAAACTTAAGCAACACTGTCAACAGTCTCATACACAGGGACTGGAGCTGGTATTTGTGTCTTGTGTGAGTGTCCCTCATTTGACAGTACCCTCATCTCATACAGTGGGTTGTTCTCCATGTTGTAGTCTGGCTCCAGTCTATCACCAGCTGAGCCTTGAACATGGACACCATAAGCAGAGTTCTCCACCACATCACACTTCTCCTGCTGTCTGTTTTTATTAGTACTACCTATGAATTTAAGATGCAGCTAATCAAAGCATCCACAATGATTGCAACTTACATCTGCTTTTAAGCAAAACAATGAGTACAACAGATATTGCGAGGACAAGAAGTGTCCCAGCAGCTGATACAGGTGCCACAATCACAACTGAGGAACCACCAGTGTCAGGCCTCAGGGTCATACTCGATGTACATGGACACCATAAGCAGAGTTCACCACCACATTACACTGACTGCAGCTTTACTATAGTTTAAAAAAATATGAGCTGTTTAACTTACGCAATATGCTGCTTTTTCCTTCGGAAGTAGATCACCAGAGTTGTGAGAACACAAGACTAACAGCAGCCGTGTGGTAACATTTGCAGCTGTTACTACAATAAGCCTTGCTACCAAAGGCACAGAAGGGTCACCATTCAGCTTTGGTGACATGTCCTTCTCCAGCCTTGGTGTAACACTTGGCACACCCTTCTCCATCCAAGGTTTATATTAGGAATCTCCTCCATAGTGTCTGTCATGACGTGTGTGAATGCAACAAACAAACATTAAAAATCTACCTTTATGATACTGTGTCTCAAGTGGAAAGGGATCACTGTATCCTGCACAGTTGTGGGCTGAGATGTTCACTGACAGTGTAGTATTGTACATGATGTAAAAACTGTAAGTGGGGCCTGGAGTTTCCATCTGTGTGCCACTGTCCACTTGAATAATGTAGTGAACAATTGGAACTCCTCCATCAAACATACGTCCTAGCTCTAGTACTGCTGTGAAATAATTATGTCTCCCTCTCTTGGTATGTGTCTTACTGCTATAGGTAGCTATAGCTACCTAAAAACAAAAGCTAACCTCACAATAAAAGTTTAGTAGCAAACCTACAAAGTACAGTGTTGAGGATTAAAAGTCTCCTTGTAGGACTGGACAACTTATTTTGTATTCCATATGTGTTACTGCATCATCAATTATGGGCTGATATACTTCCCTTCACATTTGTTGCCTCACCTGCACTAATCATTCTGTATTTATTAATGTACCTTATGCACACACAAATTCTCGACATTCTTTCATTCAGCAATCTATTTCGTTATAGAGCTGTTTTCCTGCTGAATCTGTCATGCCACTTCATTTTCTCTTTTAAGTATTACGCACTTACTTTGTTCACGTAAACCATTAGGTGCACTTCATTATTAGCAGTATGCTGCTATTGGTGTATCCTTGATCTTAGTGCCGAATCATTATTTTAAAAAATTTTCATCAGACTATAATAGTAGCTAGTCATGTCTGCCACACTACCATTTAACCTTGTGATATTAATGAGGTTAGCAAAGAATTATTCTCACGATTCTTATAATGTACAGAGGGAATTCCTTCAGGAGGATCCGAAACGAATTGTATATGGTTCCTGTCTGTCTTTGTGATGTAAGGTGGTACTTCCCACCTAATTACACTGATCTGACTGCCATGACAATAGTACGTCACTGTCTCATTTGGACAGGCATGGATAGACAGAGGATATAGAGTTGGTGTCCCCATATTAAGAATGAACGAAACGACAAAAGTGATTTATGCTCACCTGTCAGAAAGACTCCACTCCACTATAGAAGATATGAAAGATTACAATCACAGTGGACCATGAAGGACCTCTTCCTTACCATAAAAGAGTCAGTTTGCCAGAGAAGCTAAACACTTATGACGTCACCTAGAGAAAGCAGTAGCGCAGGTTCTGTTGCACAAATGAACCGGAAGTTTTTTCTATACCGCATGAGACTGTTGACAGTGCGGCTGTATAAAATGTTTTTTCCTTCTCTTTTCCTTTTGCTAGGAGTATAAAAACTGCTGTGTTTAGCAAACAGTGACATAAAAGCATCTTGATTAGCATGTAGCACATTGCCGATAACAGGGATATGGCTGTGTCAAGTGCATAATACTCAGATTATAATTTCAATAATCTTCTTATAATCTATAATTATAGCCAAACTATGTGTATTCACTAACTATAACGCTGGCTGGTTGTGTAGGGATTCCATCACAAAAAGTATCTGCACTTTAATGACTAGAAATGCTTGCTTCGCTTGTCAACTTATTTTTTAGTTATTGAAACACCAAATCATCTTGAATTTGCAGAGTTTTTTTGCAACATGTTGAATGTTGTAGTTTACTCCTGCTACTGTGAGAGTAAGTGATTAGATAAACTTCACTGGCAAGCTACGGTCGTCTTCATAACCTTGGTCTCAGCAGGCATGCTCAAAATATTCAAGCACTAATAAAATCTCTAAGCCACGTTAGTTTTGAGTGCTTACGGTTGATCTATGTGGGCAACGATGTAAGGTGTATATTTTTGAAAGTCATAAGTATTACGTCACATTCAAAGCAAGAAAGTCCCAGGCGAAAACAAAACACTGTATAGTGATAAGATGTGTAAACTTAAAATGGTAATCATTACCACATTTCCGTTTATTTTCCGAAAAACCTTAAAAAGCAGCGCTGTCAAGTAGCCACGCTGTCAACAGTCTCATACACAGGGACTGGAGCTGGTGTTTGTGTCTTGTGTGAGTGTCCCTCATTTGACACTATCCTCATCTCATACAGTGGGCTGTTCTCCATGTTGTTTAAAGTCTGGCTCCAGTCTATCACCAGCTGAGCCTTGAACATGGACACCATAAGCAGAGTTCTCCACCACATCACACTTTTCCTGCTGTCTGCTAGCTGTAACATGCAACAGCAAATACATGTGTGAAAGTTTCAGCAGATTTGTAATATATAGTGGAAAAATAAGACCGTTCGGACAGCTGGGTAGTATTCAGGTGACTATCCTGTTGCTGCAAGTTCAGTCTTAAAATAATTATGTAAACTGTAGGATCGTAACAGCAGCACAAGTATGCAATTGGAAAGTTAGCAGGACTTCTCCCTCTTTAGAGGGACAACACACTAACTATCATACTGGGATATAGGAGTATTCTACAGGTGCTGGGGTCCCATTATTGCTGTGCCGGTCAATCATAGTATTACTCTCAGAGTTCACCACTATACAAAAGACATCATTATTTTTGTTACAAGCCAGAGGTTTTAGGTAATGATTACCATTTTAAGTTTACACATCTTATCACTATACAGTGTTTTGTTTTCGCCTGGGACTTTCTTGCTTTGAATGTGACGTAATACTTATGACTTTCAAAAATAATAACACCTTACATCTTTGCCCACATAGATCAACCGGTAAGCACTCCAAAAACTAAAGTGGCTTGAGATTTAGTATTGGCTTGCACTACCTGATATTTGTGTAGAAATGGTAATTTTTTCGTTTTGCGCCTATAATACATTATTACTGGACAAGTGCGAATCAATTAGCGTCTCATCAACTAACTCTTTTTCGATCTCGTAATGAAGTATAAATGTATAGACGACACTGTCACCAGTGTTGTTACATCAGGAGGAGGAAGACCAACATCCAATCAGTATTACTGTCTAGCTCAATACTGAATCTGGCCTAGGCCACAATTAGAGCCGTCAGGGGTAGGTGTCACATTCTATTTGTATATTTATTTATCGTTTATATGAGCAAATGATCACGGTATATAGCTATCTTCATATCTGTATCTCTCAATGTGTGTAAGTGGATAACTGTATGCCTGCACAGTTGTGGGCTGAGGTGTGCTCACTGACAGGGTAGTATGTTTACATGAGGTCAAAACTGTAGTGCGCTGGTAGCTTCAAACTGTGTGCCGTTGTCCACTTGATAATGTAGTGATCAATGGAACTCCTCCTCCATCAAAACATATCTCCTAGCCCTAGTACTATCTCTGAAATAGGATGTCGTCCTTCTCTTGGTTTACAACGCCAGCTGCTTTAAGTAGAGTTAGGCACATCTGAAAAGACGATGAATAAGTCCATCACACGTATACCCAAGCTACTCTCGATTCTGCCACCAAGCTGGTCAATATCGTATGGTAGCATGTCATGTTACAACTCATCATTACTCTACCAAGAGCAGTGACAAGTGACAGGTGGTTCCATGTTTCGCTACGCCAGACATGCCACTGTTTGAGAGTGATGATGTCATGTTTGCAAAAGTGATTCTCATGCACATATGTGTACAAGAGTTGAGAGGAGTAGCGATCATTGTCGCGGTGCTGCTATGTCATGTTCAGCCTTCCTCCGCGTCCCCCATCATTTGGTGAAGGAACATAAGCCAGATAACACCCATTGGACGCGGTTCCACACCTTCCATTTCATGACAGACACTGGATATGTCACAGATTATTGGTGACATGGAAAGAAAGACAGTGGGTATTGCAGAGTGCTGGCTCTCCAGTACAATCATCGCATGTGTAGATGGCAGGAAGAAGATGTCCCAATTGTCACACCTTGAAATTCAAGGAGTCCAATTGGAAAGGATATTTATCTTTGGCCTGATTTCTTGCTACCCCAGCAGCCCGTTTCACCGAAAACTTCGATTTTCGGTGAGAGTGAAAAACCCTGTTCCAATTGGACGAAGAAAACGCGTCACATGTAGGCTCTCCAAGCGGGCGGAGCACCGCGAACCGTTCAAAGGACGGGGAAGTAATATCAACATTGCCGCTGCGATAAGGGTGCCGCGTGTGAAAGCCACGTCGCTGGTGCGCGCGAGGAGGTTTTGCAACCCTTTCGATTTTAGGTAGTGTAGCTAGTAGTGCCGGTTGACACTACAATATCGGTAAGGCAACCTCATGTTGTAACGGGGGTTTTTTCCGCTGCCCGCAAAAAGAACGAAGAGTGTAGTAGATGTGGCCTATAAATTTGGGTTATGCTGTTGAGGTGGTACTCATGGCTTGGGTACTTGTCTCCTCATTTGGTTTTGAGGCGCTTCCCACTACGAGATTTTGGGTCAGTATTCCTTATTACGACTAATGAGTGGTAAAACACGCCCAGCACCCAGTCTTGACTTGAAAAAGGCCCCGACAAGAACCCAGAATGCAACTTGGAGTGGCCTAATTCCGGACCATGCTGTGTGTCAGGGACAAGGTTTAATAAGCTAAAAGGTTTTGTAAGTAGCAGTATTTATACTCTCAAACCATAGGAAAAAGACAAGTTTTATAGGCAAAACCTTGTCAACAGTCTCATTACACAGGGACCGGAGCCGGTGTTTGGTCTTGTGTGAGTGTTCCCTCAGTTTGAAAGTAACCCTCATTTCTCAACAGTGGGTGTTCTCCATGTGTAGTGACTCCCAGCTATCACCAGTGAGAATTGAACACCGACACAGAAGAAGAGTTCTCCACCACATCACACTCTCATGCTCGTCTGTTTTTCTTAGTACTACCTATGAATTTTGAACATAACGCAAACACTCTGGCAATGTGAAACTTACAGGCCTTTTAAGCAAAACAATGAGT